TTAAAACTTTTATAACGTTATATTAAATGAAGATATCAAAACTTTTTTTAGATAAGGGCCAAGTGTCTAAGAAATAAAACTTAGTAAATCTATCCAGTAGTTTTTCCGTAAACGAACCTATAATATGACGTTTGATACTTTATTTATTTCAGTAATTCCCAACCAGTGGTCCGCGGACTACCAGTGGTCTGCAAGAGCTTAAAAATGGTCCGCGAAATTTAAATATTTTACCAACCTAATTGTTTTAAATAATACATTAATTATTATTTTCTACGCGGGCAGTGCAACATCGTGCATTAAGTTAGTAAATATCTAAGCTTTTACAATAAATACAGAAATAATACTGTTAATTAATGCTTCATTTCAGTTTATTATATATTTATATTAAGATTTATGATTATAATTTATTGTTAGATTAACAGTTATTTCTTTCACCTTGTGGTCCCTGCTAACTACGAAAAAACCACTGGTCCCTGGACAAAAAAAGGTTGGGAAACCCTGATTTATATAAATTAACTATTGTTATCAATTACTGTGTTGTCGTTCTAAAATAGCATTAGCATTATCCCAAAATACAGCTTGCTAACATTTTCCATACCATTTAAAAATATATGTACTCGTAAACTCGTATATCATAGGATAGGATAAGGCTTCTTTATCTGCATTTTAATATGGCTAAATACTACCTATGTAGATCCCGCTACGCCGCTTTATATCCACTGTAATTAGGGGGCCACTGCTACAAGCCAAGGACAAGGCAAGGCTATTATACCTTTGCGTCCTACTTCGATTGTATCATGCCGCACGTGTTTATGGATTGTACCGATAAACTGGAGGCTCGTTTGCTTTAATTTTAATTAAAAAAAATGTTTAAGCAGTGATTTTTAAAATACACAGGACGTCAGGTTAAAATATACTTACATAGATAACTGAGACGTTATGCTTAAGCTGTTTTCAATATATAAACTATTATAGTATACAAGACTATATCGATATATTATTATTTAAAAACCGTTAGATGATCGACATCATGCGAACATAGATATGAGCGCCGCACCGGCGCGCCGCCGTCGCCGTGAGTTCATGTCGGAGCGTCGCCGCCGCGACGACGAGCAACTCACTTTCCCGCTCGCACGCTCGGCTCGGCCGCATTAGTTCGCCTAGTCTACTACTGATATAGCTGCAGCATGGCTCTACCACGTTAAAACTGATACTTCATATCTCTCCTACCCGGGGTACAAATTGGAACACCCCTTTGTGCCTCGGGCTGGTGTTTGCGTATACATCAGAGAGGACATCTGTTCTCGACGCCTCAGCAGTCTTGAAGGTTCGGACCTGTCCAGCTTTTGGCTACGCGTAGAGAGCGATGACCATCACGCGTCTATGGTTGCCTCTATAGGTCCCATATCGGTAATGCCGTAACAGACCGACTCATCGACCACGTCCTGATGACTATAGATTCCTTGCTGCAGCAGATCCCATTCGTAGAGATCGTGATCCTCGGTGATTGTAACGCCCACGACGCCAAATGGCTCGGTTAACGTTAACGAAGATCTGTTCATGTTTTTGCCTTGGCATATGGTCTGACACAACTGGTTACTTCGCTTACGCGGATTTCAAATGTGGATAATCATGCGCCTTCCCTGTTGGTCCTTCTGCTGACCTCTCATCCGGATAGATATCAGATCTCCGCCGAACGCCCCTCTTGGCTCCTTGGACCATTGTCTAGCCATTCACACTAACATCGCGGTTGCATTCTGCAGGCTGTCGCCGTGTTTGGCACTATAGGTCGCCGATTGGTATAGGATGCGGTCCCTCTTTGCATCTTACCCTTGTGGGCGGGTTTTATTCTTGCCAGACGATCCCAACGTTGTTGCTAATTCTGTCGCTGATGTGGTACTTCAGGCTGTGGAACTTTTTATTCCTTCCTCTGTGGTGCCCATCGGAGTCAGATCTCAGCCATAATTTGGTCGCTCCTGTAAAATAGGATCACGCTATAAGCAGGAGTGCTACCGGGCCTGGGCTGACGATTCAACGTCCCGGGATGTAACCACTAGCGCCCTTAAAAAGAATTATAATTCCGCCTCCAGGCCCTTCAAAAGAGTCATTGCCAAGACAAAGTCAGAGCACACAACAGGATTGTCGGGAAACTAGTTCGCCTTCCTTCGAGAACCCGTGCATTCTGAGCCCTCGCCAAGGCTGTCCAAGGAAACTTCTGTCAGCCATCTTTTTCATCTCTGCACAGGAAGACGGCTCACTAGTCCATGCCGCAAACGAGAAATCCGATCTGCTAGGCTATCTTTCTTTGCGTCCAACTTGACTCGCGATGACGGGGGGAGCACACCGCTGACCATCCCGTGGTGTGAGTGTTCCATACCGGATGTGCAGTTCACACAGCCCTCGGTTCAAAAAGCACTCCTCTCTCAGGACATTCACAAGTCGAGTGGACCTGAAAATCCCTCCAATTGAGCTGATGACGTGTGATCCAGAGTTGGCACCGGTTGTAACGCGTCCTTTCCGGTACTCCTACTCCCTAGGCGTATTCACGGAAGACGGCTTTCGTCCACCCGATCCCTAAAAAAGGTAACCGCTCAGACCCGTCTAAGTACAAGATTATCGCCATCACCTCCTTGTTCTCCAAAATAATGGAATCCATTATAAACTGCCAGCTCATGCGGTACCTTGAGGACCACCAGCTGATTAGTGACTGCCAATACAGTTTTCGTTGGGATCGATCAATTGATGATCTTGTGTGAAGTTGTCTTTACTTGACTTATAGATGGGCGGAGGTAGTAGAGTCCAAGGGAGAGGCATTGGCCGTTAGTTCGGATATTGCGAAGGCCTTCGATCGGGTTTGGCACAAAGCGCTTCTTTCGAAGCTCCCTTCCTATGGGCTTCCCGAGAAATTGTACAATTGGATCACCAGCTTTCTTGCAGATCGGAGCATTTCATCAGTTTCAAAGCACTCCCCTTGTTGCCTCAGCCAGTATCGGAATCCTCGGCGTCGACATATCGAGTAATGTGCAATTTCGTGTTCACTTGGAAGAGAAGGTCAAATTGGAATCTAAAAAGCTTTGCGCGTTCAGCAGAGCGGGACAGTATTTCATGCCGGCACTCCGCCTGCCACTTTACAAGGCGCAGGGTCGGCCTCACACGGTATACTACTGTTCCCATCTATGGGCTGGGGCTCCCCAGGGCATTATTAAAAAATATAAAGCTGGGTTTGGTAACAAAAAAATGGTTTCCTTTAAGTTTTTTTTTTAAAAAACCACGGCGCGCCGCCGCGACGCCGCCTTCGCCAAGGAAATTTTGAGGCCACGCCGCCGCCGCGGAATTGGCCTTCGGCGCTCATATCTATGCGAACAATGCATCAGTCTACTGCTAGATGTGAGTGATAAGCATCTCCCATGTAAAGTAGATTTGCAGTGTAATACATATATATAAATAATAATAATAATCAATTATTTATTTCGTCAAACATTAAAGTTACATTATATGATCAGTGATCGAGGTCACCTAGTAAGCAAAATAAAGTGTTTGTCTGTAATATCGAAATAACAGCCTTATATTGAGTTGAGGGTGCTTTATTTGCACGACATTATGACGGGAACAACCTATTTTTAAAAGTTTGTTTATGTGTCTGTCTGGGCTGATCTTTGGAATTGGAGCAATGTCAGGAGTGATCTAGGCAATATTTTATCCGCAAAACTTAGATTTTTTTTAAGAAAGTAAAATTGATAAAATAAATGTTTTTTGATTCTCTTAAATCTAAATCGACACTAATAGATCACACCCAGGCGAAGACGAGGCGGGTCGCTATTGTTACTTATATAATAATAACCGGCCAAGTGCGAGTTGGACTCGCGCATGAAGGGTTCCGTACCATCGTATTACACGTTACTAGTAGGAGAGCCCTCTTTAATTTATTTTTATTTTTATTATTTGTTGTTATAGCGGCAACAGAAACACAAATTCTGTGAAAACTGTCCACCTATTACGGATCATAAGATACAGTCCGCTGACAGACAGACGGATGGACAGCGGGCGGAATCTTAGTAATAGGGTCCCGTTGGTTACTCTTCGGGGACGGAACCCTAAAACCGCGTCATTCCCCAGATGTTTGTTTCTACATCCATTTATCATCGTAGTCGTCCCGGTGACAAAAAAAACAGCCACAAAATCTCATAGCAGAAGCGATAAACAGAAATCCTGCAAATGAGAATTATTCTACCAAATAAAGTATTTCCAAACCAAAAACTAAACTTCACTACATGGAAATCGGTATACTAGTTAAGTAATGCATTATACATGAACATCGGCGTCTAATTCTCGAACAGCGGCTAAACCGGCTCTTGTCTCACCTCGGGCTTATATACATTTGACATTATAGAACGTGCACGTGTAGGAATATTGTTTTTCCACGTGGTTCATTTTCGTGTTATAATTAATAGTTCTAGAAAGATCCTCGAAAACGTGAGAAAGAATGCTTGGTAAATCGTAATAATATCATCCAGACAGAGTTTCGGTTAGGTGTCCAGTCTATACGGATACTAGTCATCTACGCAGGGCAGGATTATAGTGCCCCGGTGTATGCGCAAGCACAGGTACACTTTCTAAGGGTACGGACAGACGTGCTCAAAAAAAGTATGCTCATAAGCTTGCTTAAAATTATCATGCTCTGCAACTGTTCCACATTTGCCAGCAATAAGCACGTTTGACTCATAAATAAGCATGCTCAAAACAAACTTTGGACAGACGTGCTATTTGGCACCAGGCTCCCGACCAAAATGGATGTACAAAGATATAGTGACAGTGCTATCCGTACAGAACTCAATAAAATAATTATATTGCTTGCAACGGAATTGTGTAAGAACATTTTGGTGAAAAAGAAAGGAAAACTTGGGTTCGTAATTGGATAAATAAAAAAGACTGGGAGCAAGTAGTCGTTTGTTAGCAGAGATGCGAAGAGAAGATCTCGACAGTTCTCTCAACTCCCTCACCCTCATTGTCCGATCGGGCGGCATACCGACATGGCCGGAAAGAGATCAGGCTCTGGAGCGACCGCTTTACGTGCTTTCCGAGGCACGAGGGTGAAACACCGCTAACTTCTTGACTCCGGGCTGCTACGGAGAATTTCTGGACAGAAAAACCCAATATCTGAATTTGACCTGACCTGGGATTCGGTAAGCAGTCGCGCTTGCGACCACTAGACCAATCGACAAAGTCTTGGTAAATTATAATAATTGTTGCATGGCTGTTACCCCAGTGCCGTAACTAGGCGGGGGCGAAGTGGGCCCTTGCCCACGGTCTCGCACTTAAATGGGGCCTCGCGAGGCCTCTTTAAATGCGATACCTTCAGACTTTACCACAGATTACTAATTAATTTGATCCCTTTTACGCTCGAAAAAGAACTTTTAAAAAGAAAAGAAAATTTAAAGGCGTGTTTGGGTCCTCGCAAGAAGCCCCTCTTAGGTGCGACTGCGAGGCCGTTGTAACTAAATTCAAAGACCGCGACCTTTAGATTGACAGAATACGAGACTTATCAGGAATTAATAGCCATGAGTAGGTATGTCGTGTCAAAGCATGTTTGGTAGAATAGATATATTTGGTAGATCTTGGGAACGAAAGAAAAGGGACCTAGCTGATGCGACTTCGCCGACGTCTATATTAGTTCACGCTACAACTGTGGGTTACCCAAACAGATTTAACTACCAGCAACAATGTTTACCAACTTTATTATCGTGCGTGTCAGTGTATCATATCATGTTCCACCAAGGATTAAAGACGACTATGTATTCCCCTCGTCTTGTATTACAAAATATTACGGATATTATTGCGTTTAATTACACTTATTTTTAATTATTTGAATACTGGACGTTTCGGTGTTTTACAGCACCCTTGGTCACGGGAGAACTTTTTTTTATAGGATACGGTGACAAGCACACAGTCCACTTGGTGGTAAGTGGTTGCTGTGACCCATAGACGTCTACATCTATCCTCGTTTGCGAATCAAAATGCAGATGCGTTGTCAGCCGTGAGGACTAAGATGGAATGCCTCGTTTCCAGTAAAAAAGGTCTCCGGTTCTCTACACTCACCATACGAAACACAATAGTGTTAAGCCGCTATTTTACGCTGGTATTCTGTGAGAGTGTGGTCCTTCCCCGGTCGAGCCGACCCATTCATGCTACAACTATATTACCAAAATAGCTGCAGCATGGCTCTACCTCGTATACTTAGGTGTTTGAAGTCCTGATGTCATATTCGACTAAACCTTCAACTTTTGAATAATAAAATGTTGGATCGGATTTACGATCTTACGGTATCCAGAAGTCTGGCAGTGGTATGCTTTGTTTAAACCCAGCCATCTTCTCTATTAATATTTGGAAGTAGAAAAAGAACGCTGATTCCTACTCGTACCAATGATTATTCGCAAGCATTATCTGCTTGGGATAGGCTGATAGGATAGTTAATAGTTAATACTTGACTGGCATAATGTCCTAATTACTTATTAGATTTAAGTGTCATGAAAAACAAGTTTATATCCAGTAGAAGCTAAGTGGAAGACTGTTTATCGGTAGACTATAATGATGATGATTTTCAAACTAATAGGTTAATAACTAATGAGCGGAACCAGAAATATAAAGACGTATACATTGATAATAAAACGATACAGATTTATGACATTCTATTTTTCTAACATAAATTATTCGTAATAAGCTTTCGGAGCGTATAGATTGATAAATCACCAACAGCCCACTACTTACGAAATAGCTAGATTTTATTCAACTGCTATATATTTTACATCGTCCGGTCATTTCGAACGTCCGAGGCATCGTACAAATGGTCCATAATATTTGATTAGATAAGCCATTTTAGAATAGTAATGAAGACTTAAACATATTTCATTTGTTTTTTATTTAAAATCAGTATTATGAATACGTCATTATGATAAACATATAGATTAAAAAATGTTGTTTTAAATTGGTAATCTCAGACTTTATCATCGCGCGAAGACAGATCAAGAGACCACTCTAAGTTTTCCACAGCTATGGATCATACAATATGGAACGCTGTGTATTATTGCTACATTAATCTCTATGTTCGTTGAAAGTATATGTATTATGTATATATTAATCTAGGATTGAGATGAACATGGACATGTGAGAAGGAAATCCTGGAATAAATAACACTTAAATGTAGTTCCGGTCTGGTTTCTAAATCGGTATTTAGGCGTTACATCTTGAAATAGTAATTTTTCCTTGTCAAGATTTTCTTGCCAATATTATATTAAGCTGATGGCAGTTACTTGAATTTACATAGGGAAAATTTAATAAATTAGCGCTTGCAAATTTATATATTTAATCCTTTTTTAGCTCAAAAATTTCGATCATGTCTTTTTATCACAAGCAGCTTAATAACTGCCAATCTCTGTTTCTTTCTGCATATAGATTCAGTAAGTTGCCATATGTGAAAAATCCTTTCTATTTTGTCCATTTTTCACACATTTTTGTTTGTATGCGTATGTTACTGAAATATTTTTAATTATATTTATTTGATTTTTTAAATGTACTTAAACATTCATGTTGCCTCTATTTCTTTAATTTATCGTTCAGTAGCTGGAAGAAATTTCTATTTGGAAGAATTTCACTTGCTTTGCTTAAAGGCTAATCCGCTATTGATTAAAACAACAGCAGACGTAATGTCTAGAAGCAATGATAAACAGATCCCTTCATAATATAGAAGACCTATATTTAGTACTACTTTTTTTTATAGGATAAGGGTGACAAACGAGCACACAGTCCACCTGATGGTAAGTGGTTGCTGTGGCCCATAGACATCTACATCTATCCTCGTTTGCGATTCAAAATGCAGATGCGTTGTCACCCGTGAGGACTAAGATGGAATGTCTCATTTCCAGTAAAAAGGGCCTACTTACTCTTAAATGAACGGAAATTATCAATTCATATTAAGCACTAGATATGAAGTAAAGATTTTTTTTTTCTATCACTATTGCGGTTTCTACACAGTATACCTAATTGATAAAACAAACGTTAACATAAAAAGATGGTGGATCAAAATATTCGAGTTTTCCCTTTCATATGCAAACTTATGTCAGTTACGTTAGATCTCAGGAGCTTATTATTTTTATTGCCGGTATAGGTGAGGAAAGATATTATTCCTGTATTCAACTCGCTTCATTAACTTTCTAAACGTACCTATAGGTAGGTAATTAACATCTGGTCGGACAGGTGTAGAACCGGATCGAACGTGACATCAAAATTTTGTTTTGTCGCCTCCAACTTTGTCGCTTTAGTAAATACTAATTACAAGTATGGATAATGGAAAGGATTAAAGCAAAATGTGCTGACAATATGTTGCGTCGTTTATAATACAAACACAATGCTTCTTACAGAACTGCAAACGTAAACAGTTAAAGTTACTATACAATGCACACCTCATGAATGTGAAAACAGCAACGTTGCAGAGTTTAAAATAAACTTGTTGTGTGTTATATTTTGACGGAGTTTCAACTTTTTTAAGAGTTAACTTTTTATTTGTAAATAAGCAGACTGTACGATACAAATGATACATGCGTAGGGTCTGTTTTAACTTATGCTGATATGAATTGCTTAATCAAATAAAACTTACTTTATTTACATTACTTAAACACAATCTTTTTTGCGTTTTTTGACAATATATAAGCACTTGGTTAGTATTAATATGCATTAAAATCTGACGTTCTAATGATATAATGATTTTAGCAATAAATGTAGAAATACTAAACGGGATTGACAATTTAGTTTTGTTTTGACAGAAGGTAGTTTACATAATTAGTGGGGTGTGATTATATAAGTGGTATGTAATGGTAGGTATTTAAACATCCACGCTCACCTGCTTGAAGAACTAAAGTGTTCCTTCGCAGTAATGATCAGAGGATGTGTGTCGAATAAAATGTACCAAGTCGTGGCGCATAGCAGTGCGCCCGTGGATAGCGATAAATGTTTCAATACACATTCGCAATAAGTCCGAAGAGACGGCAAGAGTCAATCTGTCAACCAAAACTCTTCCCCAACATCTCACTGGAAATACCACACTGAAGTTATACAGTTTTGTAGTAGTCTTTGACCTCGCGGCGATTAAGGCGATGCTACAAAATTTCCACTGCGTAACTATTTAACACCGGACCGTATCACGCTCATTTTAGTTTCAGAATAAACTTCGGCGGAAGCTCAAAATATTATCTGTTTATTTAATTGGTTTTAGAACGCGGAGCAACGAGCAGTTGTATTAAATGACAACGTGGACTGTTGAACGGACCGAAACTTGCAGCTATACACTCTTATCTATGCTTGCAGCTAGGCGAAAGCGAAACGAGATAATCGTAGGTTGGAACGTTGGTAGGGGTCGGGCAGCACAACGACTTCGGGTGACATCGATTCGCGTTCGGCTAAAATCGGGTCGGGTCGCAGACACCAGACAGTGCATTTTCACATACACACTACACAGTTCTGGCATCTGTCGTTCTACGCATTCACTGCTTTACGAATGATAAACATAAATGCGTGCAGTAATCTAAATCCAGTACACGTGATTTAAAAATAATCCTAATTAACACTACATAAACCCGAGATCGAGAGATACATCCCAAGGCATTCTATGTCCCAAGGTGTACATTTTACAATCCGGCGAGTAAACCAATAACTGTAACCTTGTTCTGTAAGCAAGTATTATAAAGTATAAAGGGAGAGCAAAAATGAGCTCACTCGATGCTCGATGGCAAGTGTCAACCACCGCCATTCTGTCCACCATTATTATGTCTGTCAACATTATTTAGAAACACGACAGTGTATTAGCCAAGTTGGAAAAAAAAGGGTGACGTACCAACAGCGTTTATCCTTTAATGTAATGTGAAACGAACAATTTCAAACAACTTCCGAACCCCCCACAATTTGAAAACTATTAGACCCATTACATACATAGAATCTCAAATTTCAGGAATAAATCTACAGTGCCTAGTTCTTGGCTTATAAGTTCTGAAAAGTATCATTTTTATCACTCAGTGACTTGCTAATCATAACAAATTTCTAGATAACAGAGAAGTGGCTTAAGCCATTTTTAGCTTATTTAGAAGCTTGAAAATTGGCACTATAGTAAATTAAGCGAAAATAAAGAAAAAAATCTGAAAACTATAAATTTTCGATATCCGGTGTAGGATAAGTCAAAGTTATTTTCAAGTACTGCACTAGAAGCTAGCCGCACCAATAAAGTAGGCATTTAATTCTTGAAGTTATAAGTAAATAGTGAAATACAAACGTAATAAAAATCGTTAGAGATGAAGTAGGTATTAAAATAAGATGATAAATTTTTTTTTCAAAAATAGATCAACCTAAAACATAAATTTGAAAAGGCCAAGTTCGGTTTTGTACCGAACTTCAAATTACAATAACAAATAGCAATTCCAAAAAACGTTACAATAGAGCTCGCTTTGAGCTACAAAGCAACTGCATAGAGCTTGGCGACCTTTCAAACGCTATCGGACGCCGACAAGTCCGAAAAGCGCTTGTAGTATACCGAATTAAGTAAGGCCACCATTTATATTTTTAAAGGTATTACAATAATTACCAAAATAGTAGTTGAGATAAAAAATCAGACAACTAAATATGAATCATTGACAAAGATTATATTATTTCTATAAAATATTTAGCATTGTTATTTAAAAAACTAGACGTATATTAACAGCGTTTCGTTAGAGTTACTTAACTAATCATTAAGGGTAATGTTCAAAATATAGTAATTACTTTTATTTACATAACATAATATACAATATTTTATTATATACAATATTAAAAACTATAATAAAAATAAACTAAAACTAGTAACTTAATTATGATACAGTCCTACTCGCCGCGGTAATCTTTATATATAAAAATTACGTGTCACGTTGTTTGTCCGCGAAGGACTCCTAAAGTACTGAACTGATTTCAATGAAATTTTGTACACTGTGTGCATTTTGGTCCAACTTAAGAGATATGATAGTTTTATCCCGATAAATGACCCTCAAAATTTTTTATTGCGAATTTAAGAATTTTTTAATAGGACAGAGGGTCGTCGTTATGGGCAGAACAACGTTTGCCTGGCAAGCTAGTATACATATACATATAAGCAATTTAAAAAGTAACTTTTATGGTTGCTCTTACGTGGTAGAGCCATGCTGCGGCTATATTCATAGCATAGCTGTAGCACGAATGGGTCGGTTCGACCGGGGAAGGACCACGCTCTCACAGAATACCAGCGTAAAATAGCAGCTTAATGCTGCTGTGTTTCGTATGGTGAGTGTAGATAACCGGAGACCCTTTTTACTGGAAACGAGGCATTCCATCTTAGTCCTCACGGGTGACAAAGCATTTGCATTTTGATTCGTAATTGAAGATAGATGTAGATGTCTATGGGCCACAGCAACCACTTACCATCAGGTGGACTGTGTGCTCGTTTGTCACCCTTATTCTATAAAAAAAGGAGAACGAAGTCCATGCCGCATATAAGATCTAATGTTTATATATTTTGTAACATATACATTCCAATAGGTGAACGAATTTCTAATCCTGCGTAGGTGCTCCCGCTTCCTGCAATACATAAAGAGATATTCCTCGCTCCCCATTTCTAGCCCCCAGTGTATCGCCGATATACGCACCATAGAAAAAAGTCTTTTTCTCTTCTGCTCTTAATTTTTATGCCCTTGATGCCTGATATTGTATTGTATATTGTATTGTATTATTGTAACCCATTCATTTAATAGAAATATTTGTTAATGTTCTTTTAATTCTTTAATGACTGCCAGTTATCCAGCATCGCCTTAAGAAAATTAAAAATATGTCTTTAAAATTGTTTCCGTTTTCAAATATTACATTGATGTATTCTGTTACGGTTGTTTATCGAAGAGCAAATTAGGAGTAATAATGTTATTTAAGTAATAAATATTCTATTTACGTCTATTGTTATTTCGAGCTTGTTTACCAACACTTGTGTACCGTCCACATTAGCAAATTTTATAAGCCAGTATGCAGTAGGTACCAGTATCCAAAATATTTTACGTCTTTACATTTCATGGACATAGCATTTTTGAATTTATTAGTTTAAATTTGTTTCAGTGAATACGCAAGTAAAATAATGTAAACTAAATGGAAATTCTAGATATTTTAGATGTATCATAAAATCAAGCAACAGTTCTGAGTAAGACGGTCTTGTATCTGCCAAATTATCTTACACTTTGGCATGGGATCACTCACAGTTTAAAGATGACCTCATCATTAGGTCAGACAATCACGAGATTGCCTTGTATATTTTTACGATAACAACAATAATCTACTCTTATAATAATATAATGTAGCATGCTGATCACTCACTGAATAACGCACTAATTTATTTTCTATAATCACGACACATCGTAACTGTAACTTTTAATACTTAGTTACTGAATCATAATTCTGTAGAGCGCAGTCCAGATTCGTGTAAAAGTTGCAATTAAGTGATAGTATACTCTGATTGAAGATGTTAATAATGATATCAAAATGTCACTTAAAAGTTTTACAGATAAAATAGAAAACAAAAATGAATGTCCGAGCGATTTGGTATGCCCTCATCAGTGAAAGAAAGTGAAAAAAAAAACTGGCCAAGTGCGTGTCGGGCCACGCACAATGTAGAGGAAAGGCTCCGTAGTTGCCGGTCACAATACATGGGCTTTCTTGATAGTGAGCATAATAAGGGCAGTAGAGGGTTCGCGGTTTGACCGCTATGACGTAATATATAATGTACTCTATGGCTATAACGACTAAAATCTGGCAATTAAAGAAATTTGAATTAAAAAAAAATGGGCCCAGATAGGAAGATCGTAACTGAAGGACTTATTTTCAAATCAGACTTATAAAGAGTGGTACCCAAAAACGATCAAACATCTTTTCAATTTTGAAAATAAGACAATTTACATCTCATCATTCACATGCCAAGGTACAAAGATGATCATAGTTGACTATTTATCTATATATTCTTGGCAGTGCAACCCTAAGATATAAGTACTACATATGACCGGTAATATATGATACGAGTAACGAACCTTCACGTAAATCACTACTGCTCTAAACTATCCTGAGGTCGCCCGCCTAAACTAAGAGTGTGACGAATGAAACTGTATGAGGCTATAATCATGTTTGTATGAATAGTTTGAATGAAGCCTACAACCAACTAAAAATCTAAGTAAAATAGTAGTAAGTAATAAAAATCCTCCCTGCCTATCCCGCAAATGAAAAAGTAAAGATAATAGTGGTAATGCATATAAGTCGTTTTCTTCATAAAATGTTTATTTTTAAAAGTTATAATGCAGCTAGTTTTAGGTAATTTTCTATGGAGTTCTAACGAAATTTTTACTAATCAAGTGCATTTTATAAGTTGGTCGACTGTTATTCTCTGTGATAGTTTTCCTTTTAACTTCATTATATAATACTACGAACGTGTATACTTTTCACATTACCAAAAATTTGTTGGTAGAGTGGGGGGGGGGAACACATGACTAATGAAATATAACACTTCAAAGATTTCGTAAACGGACCCCTGAATCGAAAAGATGTTGTTAAACACTTCCAGTGCTTTTAAAAGACCTATCCAACGATAGCCCACATGAAATGGAATAGACGTGTAATCTTAAAGAATTATCCTCCATTTACCTACTTGTATGAGAAGTACCAAAAAAAAAATGTTTTTAAGATTTTATTTCAAAGTTTTCTAGGCGTGATTAATATCTATGTATAACTATGCCAAGTTACAGATTTGTAGCACTTAGAGCCGCTGAGGAAAACAGCGGAGGACGGAAACTATAAGGGTTAATTGTTGTGTAACTACGGAACCTTAAAAACACCACCGCACTATTATCAACTAATATTTGGTGACCAATATAAGATCAATATTATTCATTTATAAACAGAATCTATTTTGATGATAGCTTTATCTATTTCACCTGGTACTGGTATGAATTATACTCGTACATTAATTTATGTGTCAAATGAAATCGGTTCTCGAACGCTTCGGATCTCAAAACGTTAATAGACATATTATTGAATTTAGATTTTCAGGGATGTTAGTGATAAACTTCATTGTTTTTATGTTACATTCATTAATTTTAGAGGAAAGGGATTGCCAACAGAAATGGTAAAATTATAAACTGCGTTTGCCAACCAGCCTGCCAAGCGTGGCAACTATTGATCACCCATACGAGACAATCTATGGGTGAGACTTAGACCGAGCAGTGGACTTTTGGTAGGCTGTAATGAGTTGCCACGCTTGCCACCCCCTTCTCGGTATACCTAACCCCATGGCC